ATCAACCCAGAGGTTAAGATTTACCAAATGGTAAGTTAACCAAGCTTTCTGGAATACCCCCCAGGTCTATCCCAGCATTCTGTGACTGGGAGCAGTTATTCTCCTGCTGTTCTTTTACATCGCAAACCTGAAATAGAGTGAAGCACCTAAATATAACCACCCAACAAGAGCAAATTCACCTGCCATCTAAGCACGACAAATACATACTGGAGTGCACAAAAGCCCGCGAATGCCTTATGGTTGTTAGTTGTTCCAAAGTAAGTTTAGTTATGTCACAGACACAAAAAGTGTCTTAACTAGATGTATCAGAAGCAAAAACGTGCACTAAACTGCTAAGTTCATTGAAATTATAACTTTTGAATTAATACACGTTAACCATTTAACGCATTTGTGTTCAAGCTAGTGAAGCCTGATGTGATACCGACACCTTCTGGACAAAACAGAGTAATGCATTCAATACTATTGCCAAAGCACTGCAGCTCGCTTGATTCTGCACTGCTGCCACATCCCTGCAGCTCGCTTGATTCTGCACTGCTGCCACATCCCTGCAGCTCGCTTGATTCTGCACTGCTGCCACATCCCTGCAGCTCGCTTGATTCTGCTGCCACATCCCTGCAGCTCGCTTGATTCTGCACTGCTGGTTTATGTTTCGTTGATCTGCGTTTATCCCCGTCATTTTAACAATTGAGGCAACCTAAATTAACCAAATGCCTACACAGCAAAATTACTGCTTTATCAATAATAATAAAATCACTGCTTAGGTTTTGCTATATATTATATTTTTGTATTTTTTTTTTAAAGTTGGGACTGCAGTAAAAGCAGTCTTACTCAAACCATACAGCTACTTCACCGATGTCTGCTGTCCAAACCCACGAGACAATAAAGACAGAATAAAACCATTTGTACAATTACAAAACCAGTTTTAGAACCATTTACAAATAAACCACGAGTAGTGTTCCACTTACAAAATAATAAAAAAAATTATGCTGGGGTTCTGATTTAGGAAAAAACGCTGTAATAAGGGCACATGTAAGTTGAAATCATCTAAGGGACTTCAAGACTGATTTCTAGCCTTTATAGTTTGGCCAGTTTAATTAATACATATAGACTGGTTTCTGACAGTGATAAAGACACTGCAGAAGGTCTGAAATTAGGGCCCATGTTTAAACAGTAGATCCCAGTACAGGAACTTCTCTGTTTACATTTATAACCAAAGCTAAACATGTTGACCCAAACCCACCATCCTATCTGACAGCGCTATTACAGACAAACACATGAAGACAAATACAATTTAAACAGCAATTAGCGTGTATCTATCATCACAATGGTACAAAACAATCCTCCCAGTTGAGTGCTTTTCTGCTCAGCACTCCGGTTTCTGTGCCTTTTCATCATCCTCCGCCTTCTCAGCGAGGGGAAAACTCTCCTCTTTCTCTGCTCCGTTTGAGCTCCCTTCCTCCGCTGGGTAAACCACCACGCAAAATTTCTGACCTGTATAAGTCAGCTTGTCTGTGGAAAGAAAACAAATGGCAGAGTGGTCTACAAGGTTCACCTAAAGGAGGTTACATGTTTCATGTACACCGCACAACCAATTGGCCAAGTCTAATACAGAACATTTTAAATGAGAACTATCGGAATTGGCAAAATACACCATGCATTTACAAAGCAGAGCATGTGTTCTGTAAATTTTATATCCAGTGAATATTATGCAGATTTCACATTACTCATAATATATTAATGGTTGAAACAACAAACTACAATAACAATATGCATAATAAATAATATCAATGAAAAACAAATGCCATACCGACAAATGTGTTGAAACACTGGGGCTTTTTGTCCCAGTACACACCAAGGAAGTAGACTGGGACACCAGTGAGCATAATTGCTAGACCAATACCACACACCACTGGCTCAGAATACAGAGAGAAGATGAGCAGGAACGCCCAGAAGAGCAGGTAGATAACTGGCCAAATCAGGCTAATCTAGTGGGGAAAAAACAAATTGTTAAACAAATGCACAACTTCCACAAACCACAATGCAATATCCTGCTACATACTGCACCTGTCTACACACAATTCCAGGTAATGATAGTATGGCACCAATTAGCATTCTGTGCATGTATACCGACTGGGACAGTAACGGGATCCTTGTGTGTACTTCATCTTGAATTCTCTAATTAAAGGTTAATATATGAAGGGATGGAATTTAAATTGTGTACCATAGGATCATTTAGAAAATAGGGTCTTGCAATTAAAAAAAAATGTCATTTCATGCTAAAGAAATATGTGAATGCTTTTATTTGGTAGGCAAATCTGTATAGACCATTCGTACTTTTAAATAAAAATAGCTGCAGCAACCCATATTTTAACACTTAAACCTTCCTTCAAGTATTTAAATCAGGGTTCCCCAATTTCAGTGCTGGAGGGCCAGAATCAAAGAGTTTACTGATTTCCCTGCTCGAACACGTCCTAGTTTAGTAGGTGTGTTTGAAAAGGGAAATCTGCCAACTTTGTTGGAATCCGGCCCTCCAGGACATCAAGTACTATTTAACCAAGCACATTGTTTTAAAGATAAAGTGGATTGCAAACTAGAATCTGTTAAGCACAATCTGTCCAGGACCATCAAAAACAGAAAGACCCATTGATCATTGAGAGGTCTGTTCACCTTTATCGGTCGATGCATATTTGGCTCTTTGATGCGCAGAACAATCTGTCCAGCTACAGTGACGCCATAGAAGAGGTAGTTTATGAAACCCACATAGTTGATGAGCGTGTACATATCACTGGTGCAGAGCATCAGCAAGGTAGATACGCACTGAAAAGGAAAGAGGAATGTGAGAGCGAAGGGACTAATTCTTTGTGACATGACAATTTTACAGAGAGAATGGTAAGCACTGATATTAGACTAACCCATCGAGGGCAAAACAAATTCGAGGAAATAGCAAGTGAAAATGGAAAACAAACTGCACATTTAAAATATGTATATACTGTGTTTTAGTTGCTGTGAATATTGGATCATTACGCTGTTGTGACAAAGGATTACAGTATGGGAAACAGGAGAAGGCCATATAGAACTTACAGTGAAGAGGAGAGCTGGGATTGGTGTGCAGCGTTTTACATGAATCATAGCCAGGAGACTGGGAAGGTGACCCTCTCTTGCTCCTGCAAAAAACAGCCTGTGGGAACCAAAATGATAAGAACTCAAATAATATCTTTATATACCCAACTAGGCCCAGCAGGAGCGGGGGAAGGGAGAAAGAGATAAAACAGCAGCTGACCGTTAACCCTCAAACGTAATCCAACAGAAGCATTGAAACGCCATTATATCTGGAAGAGATGACCAGGACCAGAGCTATTGGTGGGATAGAGGTCTGTGAGGTAGGGAGGCAATGGGCTAAGAGAGACCTTTCATGCTTCTGTGAGATCAGGAAAGGCCGGACAAATGGCAAAAAGGTAGAGAGAGACAGAAATAAGGCAGAATAGAGAGAGAGCCCATGTAATGGGGGTGGGAATAGATGGACTGACCGGGACGAAGTGAAGAGGGATCCATTGACCCCCCCGAATGTAGAAAGAGCCACAGAGATGGGCATGATCCATGACATCACTCCCAGTAGCTTCTCACCAAATGTCTGGGAGGTAGGTGGAAAGAAAGGGTGGTTAAACTGACAGATGCAGAATGCACGCATGTATGTTATTGCCTACAATTGGAAACAAACATCAGACAACATAGAGTATACAGAGCACGAGAAGAGATCAGAGCAGAGGCAAGGACAAAGGCGTTTAGATAACCCGAGTTTCGAGAAAGGTCACCAAATTTGTACAAGGATCCAATATGTATTTATGAGATTTATGCCGAGTACAAATATGAAATGAATATTGTAAGTAAGAAGAGTGTCAGAATGACACAGTAGAAAAGGAAAAGCATGAATCCTCACCACAGCGACTGCATTGGATGCCAGCAGCTCCTGAGGGCTCATTGCCGTTACGTAAGCAATATTGGCAAAGACGTAAACAAACGTCACAAGAGGTATTGAGATATAGATGGCTCGTGGCAGGTTCCTAAGTGGGAGAAAGGTAGACTGTCACACTGATTGATTACCATGTAGTAGGTACAGCCTGACCCGACAGAATATAAGAGGAACTCACGTGTATGGATCAACAAGCTCTTCTGTGACATAATTGAGGAAATTCCAACCACCATAGGCAAAAGAGCCCTGTAAGAAGGCTAGAGCAATCAAGCCAACATCATAGTCCTGAAAACTCTCAAAGGCATGCGCTGGTTCCAGCCAGTAGTACTCCCCTAGGGGAAAAAACAAGACTGGGTCATTCATAATAGCCTACAGCTATCCTTCAATAAGATCCGACTCAAAGCACTTTTAGTGTTCCAACTGAACACGTTATGTACTGTGATATTACATAGAATTTGCATTGCATGCAAGTGTGCGAGCGAGTGGATATAGCCATGCACGACAGAGTTAAAAGGAGTGCCTGGGAATATGGGGCGGGTGAGGGGGGGGCAGAGCGACTGTGAAGAGGCATGTGGACTTTAATCCCCTGCTCAGTCATCTGGCGGTAATGCCAATCCCGAGCGAATCATGCGAGCCCATTTGCGTCTGCAGCTTCTCTCACAACCCCCTGCCCCCAAAAAAACGCTGCTCAGTCTGATCTAATGTTCCCCTCTCACTCAAGATTTCACTATTAAATCTTTTATATTCTTCAGAGCTCTACAGATGGGATGAAAGCAATGCAGGGAGGGAAAGAAACCATTTAACCCTGAGATTAGGTAAACAATGACCAAACCAGGGGTGTAATACATTTTTCAAAGATAAAACGTTAAAAAAAAAAAAAAAAAACAGATCAGCAAGACCTATCTTTGTAAGAGCTCTCTATAAAGTGACCGGCTTCCACAGGGATGCTTATATATGCCTCACATCAAAAGGCTAATACAATAATTATGGATTGTACATTTACACCAAACTAAGTGATGACATTTCTGAGACCACTAAAATGCCAAAGTTATCGGATTACTGTGACTGCAGCAAGGGATTCAACGTCACCATCACCACTGAGGTTGTCACAAATTGGTGACCTTTCAGTGTCTCTAGCAAGCATGTGACTAGACACTTGATGTTTTCCCTTAGCTTGTGTTGATTAATTCTTTTAAGAAAGATGATTAGTGCTAGCATTAAAGTGATAGTATTAAAATGTAATCTTTTAATATGCTCTTTATTCTTAGCCTACCTCAAACACATGGCTTTATTGTATAGCCCCTTTTCTGATATGGGGATTGCCTTAGCATCAATGAACTGCAGATAGGTGTACATGAACTAGTGCTGTTCACGTGCCGAGGAATGCCACGGTAATCAAATCATAGCGGCAGACTGGCACATACTGCATACATGGGTAACCGTATGCATCTTTGCACACAAGAGCTGACAGGCCAAGTACCAAGATAAGGAACCAGGTGGGAGAGAACGACAAAAGCGTACCCTTGCAGATCTGCACGATGCCCATGATGATGATGAGTGCCAGAGCCAGCAGCTTTCCAGCGGTGAAAATGTCCTGGACACGCGTTGCCCAGCGCACACTAGCACAGTTCACCCATGTCAGCAGCACTGAAGAAAACCGATAAGACAGAAGTTATTGTGAGAAGTTGGCATGTCTTTAAGTAGTACTTCTCGATTAACCGAAACCAAACTTTTACTTGATCAGTATTGGTTTCATTGTTTGCATCCTTTGTTAGATTTTTTTAAATAATTTTTTTAATAGTAGTTCTTAAAAAGCATCACAGTTCACTCAGAATGGAGGCATAAAAAAACAACGACCATAATCCTACAGCTATAAGGCGTAGAACATAACACGCTGATGCAAGACTGAATGCTAAATTTCATAAGTGGCATAATATATAATATACAACTACACCACATACATTTCATAGCACTTCACACACAATTTGTACTCAGCAGCATGTCATCTGCTTCAACAATATATTATAAAATACAAGCCACTGTTGAGAATTAAGTAAATGATAGTAAATAAGAACTATCATTGATTCATGCTACCTAGACAACATTGCAGTTGTGGTTCTTTTATTTGTCTTTTTCTTATGTCAATAGCACGTTACTCCTTAAGTTATACATTTTACAGTTTTATTTGATGACTTCATAACATTTCCCAGGCTCAGCTTTCACCGGCCTCAAACAGATAGTAAAGGTCTTCAGCTGCATACCTGCACTGTTATTTTGCACTTTCGATTGTCTTTATGTGTATATATTGTCTATATACACACTGTCCTGCACAATTTACTTTGTGTCATTTTTTCATTGGTCAACTATGCAAATACTGGATATTTCTCCTAGCTTTCCAGTGCTCTGCAGAAATGCACTATTATTTCACATGTGAAATGACAATGTGACTTAAGAGTTAATTTTCAAAGAAATTTTCAAAGAAATTCAACTTAATATTTAAAAAAAAAAGTTAAAAAAAACAATTTCAAAACCAAGCCACATTTTTGCAACGCAGCATTATTTCTTAAAATCTTTTTTTATTCCAAAATGCCAGAATGCTGACACACAGGAAAGTAACCTGACAAGTTGCTTCCTCAACTAACAACCGTTTCCTCTTGCTAGTCTGACCCCAGCAATTCAGAAGGTATACTGGTGCAATTTTGTCTCTGCACAGCATTAATTGATGACCACTTCAATACCATTCCTATCCAGAAGGGGTCAGGAATCGCAGCAAAAAATAGTGACAGGGACAAAAGAAAAATTAACTGTTCAATAAGTAATAAAGGTTTGATTAGAAATGGCTCACAGAATGACTTAACCATATTACAGAGAGATGGCATTAATATACCCACTACATTAAGTAGACACTATAGAATTTTAGTGTCAGGGTGTGCACAAGATTTGCCATAAAATAATTAAGTTTTGTCCTTTGCTCATTCACGGTTCTATTACAATGAACTTTATCACTCTTTATTGTACATAACAGCAAACCGTCACTTTATGAACAGTGAACTTGTTCACTTTTCAAAATATTAGCCTTTGTACTTCAGCCAAGGTCATTAGTTATTGTTGCTATTAACTCTACTACAAATGACACGTTCTTGAACTACTTCCTGAGCTGCACGCTTTTAAGTAAGATCACACACGGAGAGCAGATTTAACATATGAAGACGTGAGGGTAACGTGCAGCATGAAGGGTGACCTACAGCGAAAAGCTGCACAAACACGAGACTTCACCCGTCATTATGCTGTCGATTCATCTAATCTGAGGATGCCTGCTGCAGCCTGGCAGACATGCAAATGCCCAACGCTCCTTTACAACTTCTCCATAATTAATAAAACCCTTTTGTTGTTTGGGCAATCAACAACTATCAGTGAATCATGTTATAATATCTGTCTTGTGAAGAGATCACCTCCCCGTAACATCACACACCAGTTCTCCAGCACAGTAAACAAATGTCGTTTATCTGAACATGGTAATATGGAAATATGGATTTCAGTACCCAACTCTGTGACGAGTAAAATCGGCTGAGCAGCCACTGAGGTTAATCTGCCGCGCTGCCAAATTCCACAATTTTAGGTCACGCTCACTATTAAAAATAGACACCCCTTTGAAGATCCGAATCAACATGGAACAAAGCATAGCGGAGACAGTATGGGGGGGAAGGAAGCGTCCTTTGTGGTCAGGAGTAACTTTTCACCTACTTTCTGAAGCCACCTAAGGGGAGTAGGGGGATGTATGTAAAATGTACTACTCAGCCTTTTTCTTTCCATATACAAAAACTGTCAAACAGACCCTATCCAATTAAAAGCCAGCACTCAAATAACTACTAATAACCAGGCCAATCAGAACTAGGTGTCCCACTAGTGCCACTAATCCACTGGTCCCACTAATCTACATTTCAGAAAGCTACAAAACAATATTGCATTGTTAACTTATCGGGACAAGTACCTCTAAATCAATGTCCATGTTAATCTGGCCAGAGGAAAAAAAAACAAAAAAAAAACAGAATTAGCAAACCCATGTTGAGTCACACAAACGTGGAACCTTTAAGCACTGCAGGATGAATACGATCTAGTGGTGATCATTAAGGCAAAGATTAGAGTCTGGTGGTATACCCCCCACTCAAAGTCCTCATGAGATCAAAGGCCTGTTTATTGGGAATTACGCCAATTTTGGTGGTGGTTTAATTTAAAGACTGTAGTGGTTGCATGACAGCTGCATGTTTCAGAATCAGAAGGTAACGAAGGTGATAGAATTCCACTGGCAAAGACTGAACTGCTAATGGTGCTGCTTTCACATTACAATGTCAGTCTCAGTCCAGCTTCTCTCTGTGATATTCTTACATGTGTGAAGTTTTCAGATGCTCATCTCCAAAGATCACAGCTAGGCGTGGACGACTTAGATTATCCGCAGTCTCTCTGTCTTACTCGCACAGACATATACTAATACACATGCATGCGCACACACACCTTCCAGCCTAAACCCAACCTGGCCCTTTAGCACTTCTCTAAACATTTCTATCCCCTTCCAAACAAGCCTCTAGCAACATCCCCCTTCACTCACACAAGCAGATGGCGGCCAGCAGCCGGAGCCCGCTCTCAGGGGGAAAGCAGGTCGGGAAGAGGGGCTGCAGGACGTAGTTGGAAAAGGTGAGAGCAATCACAGCCTGGTTGGTGGGGTAGATCACAAGCACGGCGATCCATAGGCGCAGGAATCTGACAGAAGTGAGAGCACAATTAATGACATTCAAAGAGGAAAGCAGCAGGTCTGAGAGACAGACGCTTCTAAATAAACAAACAAAATTGTTTGCACTAATTGAACTCATCTTTATTCAATGTTCCATACCAGATACCCAAATGTTTAGACTAGTCTGATTCGCGTAATCGCTCCCTAACAGCCTTTTGCTCTCACCCAGCGAGTCCTCCAAAGATATCCTTCACATAGGAGTAGTCTCCACCAGACTTTGGGATTGTGACACCCAGCTCAGCATAACACAATGCCCCGATGGCTGTGATGATTCCGGTCACGATCCAAACGATCAGCGCCAGGCCAACTGAACTCGCATTCTCCAGAACTCCCTTTGGGCTCACAAAGATCCCTGACCCAATAATGTTACCTACAAGACAAAAAAAAAGTAAAGAAAAATGAATGGTGATAAGACACATACTGAACACCACACAGTGGCATGAGCTAAAGTATAGGCCTACAGTAGCTGTGTATTTGCAGTTTGTGGCATAACCTTCTTAGCATGGAAGTTCTTAGCCTCAGGTCCCCCCACCCCAAGCAGTTTTAGGGGGTCTGCAGAAACATTTCATAATTTATGAAAAGCAGCTCTCCATATTAAGTGCTCCACGCAACATAAGTAATATTCACAGAAGGACACTTCTTGTTTGGATCTTAAATATTGATAGCGGAAGCTCGTCAACCCCATTTAGAGAAGAAGAAAAAAAGAAAAAGAAAATACAACATTCAAGGCTGAAGTTACATTTAATCACACATTTGCAATATGGGGTCACTAGCTCTGGTGTATTTGTCTTTGGAAGTTTAAGAAAGGTTGAAAAGCATTCCCTTAACAAAATGTTGGGACTGTCTCCCGGGTATATGGGAAATCTTTAGTGTAAAGTCTTGCTTTAAATTACACCGAGTGAGACTAACCTATATGGATAATAAAAGGAAAATCAGATGGGAGAATAAAGGATTGGGGCTGGTGGACATGGTGAAACCCAATGAGATTTCTTCATAAGATGCCATAAATGCTCTAAAGGAAGTTGGACAAGTAATAAGGAAAAAAAAAAGAACAGACAGTTTGATCAGGACAGTGGGAAAGTGAATATGAAGCAAAGAGAGGGGGTGGCAGGATCCCCAAAGAATCCTGAGACTCACAGAGAAGGCAGCTGAATTGTAGGCCCTGCTGAAACAGGAGGGAGAGATGGTGAAGTCAAATGGTGCAAGGCAAAGGGGAGCCTCAAAAGTACACAGACAAGTGATTAGTATTGACATGACAGAGATAGTGAGGTAAGGCGGCAGGTCAAAAGGTTAAGTGTAGTCTGGCAGGTAGGAGAAGAGATGGGACCTTATTTTGCTGACCTGACAGGAAAGGCTTGAGAAAAGGAATACGGGCAAGAGGGAATCAGAAAGCCAACTTCCATAACAAAGTGGCGGGTGATTTCTAGCTCTATACACTTCAGAAAATGTGGGTGCTATGAACTGAAATTGACAAAGCAGAAGAGTAACAGGGAGCAGTTACAGTGAGGTCAAAGCCGCAGGCCCGCGTGCAAGGCTGCAGTGCGTGTTTGTAAACTTCACTTGCTGAAAAACGTAGAGTGGGACAAGACATCAGTATTAACACCAAGTATATTCTATTTCCTTGACCGAATTATAAAATCTGCACAATGATGCTGCAAAATGAAGTGGAACGACCACAACACACTTTCCCTGCAAAATAGGCTGTTTTATAGTTCACTGAAACAGGTGCCTGTGGGAATGATTATTTTAGCTGGCAAACAACATATGTCATATGGGTCTCTATTTTCTTATGGACAGAATATATTTCTAATAATACAAATTACACCACTTGCTTATGTAACCATATGCCTTACTTAGCTATGGACAAGTGTGTTGTGCTTGATTTTCCAGTTGGGTTGCACTGTTACTGCTGGTAAGAGAGTGGGATTAACATTTAATTTCCTTATAAATACAAAATCTCCAAGCAAATTCCAGACCATACACCATTACAAAACCCATCACAGTGCTATAATAAAATTTTAATTCTATGGTGCACCAGCTAAGAGAATGCGCAAGCTGGAATTCCATCATCACTGCTAAACCCCTTTGATTGGATTTCTTTAAGACATTTTGGTCTCCTTTCATTATGTCCCACGGATTAATAGCGCGTCAGTAGATATTCTGAAAGTTGCTGACATTACATTTCATGCTCTTCTGTTCACCACTGTGAGAATTGTGGTAGGAAGTTTAACGAAGCACATGTGGCTACTGAAGGCAGTCTGGCTGTCAGGAGAGCAGCTCAGACAAAGACCATGGAGACTAAGTACCCCGATGTTTGCTAAGGTTTGAAAAAGGGCCCTGGGTACTCTGACAGTTAACACTCAACCAGATAGGCCTGGTTCATTTAGCAAAATGTATTAATTCTTGTCTGTACACCATGCAGTGGGTACAGGTGTCAGCCGTCGACTCCCACTCACTGCTTTTCAAGAACAACATAGCACCAGTTCTCACACAAACCATTGCACCAGCGATCTTGTTACTGACATTCTTTAATCATGGCTCGTGTTGTGGTCTACATTTGGTCTAGAGTGCAGGGACAAGAGTCCACTGGCGTGAGGATGCCATTAAGCAGTGAAAATCACAAGATACCTATCTGGTATTATCTGCAGGAGCATTTCTGCAAGCAGACCATTCTATGCGGCAGAAGCTGATCATAATGCATTTTATCACTCACTGCTTAGAGATAGCTGAAGAAACACTGCTGGGGGATTTCAAAGATAGGTGATTTATGTGGAGAACAGATGACTGAGGCTGACTGATTGCACCAATCAGTTTTAATTAAGCCTAACACCAGAGTGGGAATCACGCATCGCAAGTGTAGTTTAAAAAAACAGCAGCTTAAGCAGTCTTGGCTTCCGACTGCGCCAAAGTGATGTGTACAGCTGCTCTTAGAAAGCCACGGATTGAATTTCCCAGCTGCCAGGCTTTCAGGGAAACGTCTGCTACCAGAAGTGGAATAACGGTACACAACCGGCCTGTAAACGCGATTTAAAACGCATCTGCACGCTTCATATGAAACCACAGCAGCCGCCGAAGATCTGAGTAAAGCTCATTTCTCATCCAGACTTACCTACAATAATGCCACAGGCACTGACGAGGCCGATCTCCTTCTTGAGCGCCACGCCGCCGCCCCCGCTGTCCTTCCCGCAGTCCGAGGATCCGTCTCCGTCCACAGCAGCAGCCGCGCTCCCCCGATGCCTGGCGCCCTCCATCCCCGTCACTTTCCCCGTATTTGTGTGTCTACTGACTAATATGCCAACGCCTTTAATATTACCCACGTGTGGTATACCACCGATCCAGTACTTAACGCTGCAAAATTTTAATTGTTAATAGTGTTTTCAGTATAATTATCCATACCATAAATATCCATCGAAGCAGTGCATTTAGTTGTCTCGCTAGGTAAATCAAGGACGGGGCGTCTAACAGGCAGCTTTTCGCCAGACAAAAAGATAGGGGATACAATTTGGCAATAACATGTAAAACGCTTATCCACAGAATATTCTCACGGATTAGTATTACGCGGGTATTACATAAGGCATTTTGTCGGCAGCTGTCTTTAAATAGCTGGTTTACTATGCTTCAGTGTAGTGCAATTACCCTTGAAGCAAGACCCTGTGTTTTTATTTTACAAATAATGCATTATATGCGAGGCAAGCTTTGCCTACATGAAAGACTGGATAGGCAGCAACTTGTAACCATGAAAGGAAACGACGGTTAGAAAGCGAATCACGCACAGACGTCTAGCACCAACGTGTTACCGGCTTTTCTGCTACTATATCTTCTTAATGATATTTTACTTAAGTAAATCTAAAAGTTAAAATGAGAAAAATACAGAAAATAATTAATACTGCCAGATAGTCTAGAAACACGAACGGCGTTTTCCGATCGAATCTGGAGTCTCCGGCTATAAACTCTCAGCTTCTAAATCCCACCAGTCCTGAAACAATGCGTCGGCATTGTATCCGTGCAAAATTTGAGGAATGGAATGAAAATATATATTTAGTAGTGTCCAAAATCCATTCCCATATTAGAAAATGGGAATATCTATACGCCACTTCCTACGTTAGACTTGATCTCCACAATATTAGAGAACGACTGATTTCGCCCTATATGTGTATCCTTTCCTCCATGCACCGCCCACCCAACATTAACACCGCCCTCCTCGACATTGGTTGCTCTCCATGCTGTGTATGTGATAAGCAGATAAATACGCGTTTTAAATCTCCCCCATGTTCTCACTCTCTCTGTTTAGTTACGCTTGTTCTGGACGGGGCGCCTAATTTCAATATAGCAGCTCCTTTTCTGATTGTGGTGTCATGTGAATGAACATTTCTTGAGCTTTGGAAAGCAGCAGCGCCTTTGATCTGATGGTGAAAAAAGATACACAGATATAGAGATATATGTCACAGAGAGCGAGGAAGGTGCAATCAATGACAATTTTCAAGTCACAGAGAGAGAAGAAGGTGCAATCAATGACAATTTTCAAGTCACAGAGAGAGAAGAAGGTGCAATCAATCACGATTTTCAAGTCACATATCTTTCTGGATAAAGATGACAGACATATTACAGAAGTGCACAGTTATCTAAATGATACCGACAGAGGTATAAAAATGCCCATGTGCTTTATGCTCAATCATCAAGAATTTGGACCTTGTGTTTCTTCCTCACAGACATTGGATGCTGTGCATTTTCTTACAGTGGTGCTAGCTAGGAGGACAAAGGTCTGTAATAATTGTCTGGCAGCATGGAATTCTAAGGGCCCCTGACAAATGATAGGCTGAGAAACATGCCAATCACAGCTAATAGGACGTATGCAGCACCCACACCAGCTATTTGATCAGAAGGTGTAAAAATGCAAAGGGAATTGGATGGGGAAAGCCTGTAAGTCTACTCACAACATGGTACAATCAGTCTCAGGCAATGAGACTATTACCAGACCTTGCTTTTGGTATTCTGTCCAGTAGTTTGGAGTTTTGTGCGTCTGTGGTCAAAGCTGTGAGGGGTCTTCTCCTCCAGGAAGTTATGGATCAGTTGGAGCTTCCTGTTTTGCCTGTTTTTGTCTGGAGCTTAAAACCGGCATGGAGTTTAACAATATCCTAACACTCATTGTGAACTGATGGCATGCATGGTGGGGCCAATGGTGGTTTGTTTAACTTGTTTCTGAATTTGTTTGATCTTCCTAGTCAAGAAGACTGGATGAGTGGTTCAATGATGAGGATGTTCCTGATTAAACATAGTGACCCAACCTGGAGGGAGAAGGAACAAGTCTGTTTCTGCACTTCATTGTTTGGGGTGCTAGATAAGCTGAGACAGTATGTGTTTATAGGAGCGGGGGGTCAAGATGCATTTAGGGAGAACAATTGATTGAACAATGCAAGTAAGTCTACTGAGAAACTGGGGAGAGAAGGTTAGGACGATGGATGAACAGGAGAGTAGAAGTGGATTATGCTAATTTACTCTGAGATAAAACTGATTTACCCAAATCAAAAGTTGAAGACATTTCCTAATACTAATACCAAGCAATATTCTACTTCTCTGGTGCATGCTGCTGCAAAAGTAGCATGTTGATTTCTAATATTACTCACAAAGACACAAATGAAATAAAATGAAATTTCTCAATTTATGGGTATGCACCTGTGTAATTTATTATTTTTTTTGCTAACTCCAGCCGGGCTGATCCCTGTTTCTCATTGATGAAGGGCTCCTTCCTTGCTTTATGGGACTTCAGTCCTGCTTCTAGGAGCCAGTTATGAACTGTCCTAGCAGTGCACTTCACACCACTTAATGTTTCCCATTATTTTTGAAGGTCACTTTGAGGTCATCCTCTGATTTATGTATCAGTGCTGGATAAATTGACAGTCTTCTCTAGCATTAGAAAGCTGCTTCTGCCCTCTACCTGGCTGGTTTTCGGTTATTGCCAGTGTCTCCTGCTTCTCTGTACTGCTGTCTTAGAAACTCTGAGCCTGGAAGCAGCCTGCCTCGCAGTGTAGCCTTGTGCCGGCAGAATCAGGATTAAACCAGGATTTAAAATGCAGATTTTTAAAAAATATAAAATGGTCTCTTAATTTTTTGCAGAACTCTGTCATTTTTGAGGCAGTCATTGTGCACATCTAAAAACCGTTGATTGAGAAACATAAACCCGAGTTCTTTCAAAGTAATTTACATCTTTATACATGTGCAGAAGGAACTGGAGTTTATTTGTCGTGGATGTCTGTTTTGCTGTTAGCAATCCATTGCCTGGAAGATAGGGACAATAGGTTGTAAACACATCGGTAATGAATGAGCACAGAGCCACTAAGCCAGCACTAGGGGATTTCATGGCCCCATGGTTTATGGTGGAACAGTGACATTACCATCCACTTGTTTGGCCTGTATGTAGGCCATTCATGTTGTCATCTTTTTGATTTCCAGCTGTCTTCTCCTTCAGTGTTTTCTTTCTCTTCTCATAATCTCTCTGCTCATTCGTCTTCCTCAATCCTTTTCTCTGGGGCGTTTGTGCGGTGCTGTTGTCCTGCACTGTTTACCACATATTCTGGAATTAATGATGTTAGTCCATAAACTTTATTTGCTGTAATAGGATATGGGCAAAGACCTCAATGAGACTGTTGCACAACTGAGTAGAGATCTGACAGCAGGGCCGGCTGGAGAAAAGGGAGTGAGGAATTTGAGTTTATTGGAGGAAACCAGAAGAGAGAAAACATATCTTGGGGGGGGGGGGGTTGCATAGTATGGAAGCAGAAGGTATATGAGAAACAAAAACATGCTGTGGCTGTAGATTGAGATGGAGAAAATCAGGGGAACGCTATGCACTTACACTGATGGGACGGCAGGATGGAAGAGAGCAGTGGGAGGGATGATGAGTGAGGGGCGTGTGTACTCCAAGCTCAGTGTAACATGAGCTGCGTGTTTACCAGGCATGCTGAAGCACATGGGCCGCCAGTAGAGAACAATGTGTTCAGGCATGCGGTGTTTCTTCGAACTTCTCCTCATGGCAGACGTGTGTCTATCCATTGGCTTGTTCCATGTTGTTTTCCTCTCGGTGTCTGTTCTGCTAGCCTGTCCATCTGCCTTAGCATTAGTAATGGGAGATTTGCTGCTCCCTGTTGCATCACTCGCGGTTACTATGTGCTGGTTTGCAAAAGATGTGCTGTCACCATCAAAGCATCTCCACACTCATTTTCCAGCTGCTTTTGTGATAAAAAATTGCTCGATTGCATCGGTGTGTAACTTTGTCACGAGGTCACCTGACTGTTAGCCAATGTATAAACATTTCCTTCCAGGCTGATTTCCACCCTCCCATTTCAATCGCATCACATCGGGGTGCATGTCCATGACAACAAATGATGAACACAGTGAAAGAACCGCTCAGTTCCAGGTAACTGATAGACATGTGTGAAAAAAAAACATACATAGGCCTAGACATATGCATTAATTTACTTGACTGCAGTTTCAGCTAATATCACTGGTACGTCCCCTCATAGTCAAACCCCTCCCATGATAAACAGTTTAACATGACTGTTTTTATGGAAGTCTGGATGGATCCAGTTCTTACCGCCTTCCCTACCCCCTCACTCCCTCCCCCTCGTGCTATGTGACTTTTGCACCACTGTGAAGATCTCTTGAGTCAGCGATTTGACAAAGTCTATTCCTTGAAAAAGAGACAAAAGCCAAAGAGAGAGAGAGAATTTAATCCACTGTTTTTTTACATTACTGGACAGTAGTATGCAGAGTGTGTCTGTGTCGTGTGTCTATTTATGCCGGCCGCATGTGGCTCTCTGTACTTGTCCTAGTTAGCTGAGGCATGTTTCTGAGCCAGGGCTAGTTATGAATTTAAACATGGTAGGCTTCCTCCAGAACATCCGTATCTCTCAAAAAGTAGATGACTCTGCAGCTGAGATGTTTTTCACATTTTGACATCTTTTGGGTGCCATACCTTCCTTCAGTGTTTATTTATGTGTTTATGTGTCAAAATATTTTATGCTTTGCTCTTCTAACTGCCCAATTAAGTATTCCAGCTGCCATCTGACCAAAATCCCAGAAGATCTCTACATCAGATCTTTGTAAGACAACATGTTGCCTGATTTTCATTATGTCCTCTGTTTGCTTTCATGATTAGTCTTAATACTGTATAATATTGCTTTTTACAAGAGGTGTAACATCTGTTTTTCCTAGATTCAGCCTTTTCTCACCCTTGTTCATTATATTTGCTTTCCTTTTCATTTTTTTTCCAGTTTAAATTCCTTCCACGTCTGTGTGGCTTCACCTCTGCCTTGTACACTGCTATTCATACTGCCATATTGCATTTCATTACATTTCACTGCAGTGTCATGTGAGACATTCAATTCTTAATAAAGTATTTCAATTGCTGTTTAATTAAACCCAATTTAAACCCGAATTTTTATTTTTTTTGGGGGGGGTGGGGGGTGGGGTTCTTAGTTTGCTGTTAAAACAACAACAACAACCTACTTTTCAAAATAGCATTTAGCCTTCAGAATACATCAGTCTTTCACAACACTCCTTTTCTTTAAATGTCATCTAGTGGATATTGTGTGTTACTGCATCATGACATTACAACAACTGTAATACTTGATTCTTTATCATAATCATATTATTTTCTTTTTCTCAGTCTCTTGCTTGTGCTTCATTACTTAATGATTTGATTGTTATTTTACTTACTCTTACATTTCTTTTTTGACTCCTCCATACAAGAACTGATATCTCTCCCTTATGTTAAGGTATCAGCCTTGGTATTGACATATAAATGTTCAGAGAGCTCACCACATGTTACCTCTAAGCATATAACCCTTCAAAGTCAGCACGTTTCTCCTTTCTTAGGGTGTCAGACCTGAACAGAATGCCTGTCAGCCTACAGTCACATTTTCTCCATCCTCCCTTCTGCCATACAGTACAGAATGATAAGCACCTCCGAAACGTTTCTTGCACACAGGGCCGTAGCCAGGATTTGAAAAATACTGAGGTCAAAAGTGTTAGCCCTTCCTAATTGTACCCCATAATGGACTGCAGTTATTGGAGGACTTGAGCTCAGTGTCCTCAGTGGTAGGTACCAACATGCTTGTACTTATACTTGCTGTGCTTCTTTGTCTG